TTTATCTATCATGTTTATTTATTTTTTTAAGATAATCCTTATAATAGTTATATATGTGGAAAATTTCATCAAATGGTAGTTCTAGTTAATAGACATAATTAGTAAATATATTTTAGAAAAGATAATATTTATTTATTACAAATAACTAACTTAATAAATTATTTTAATTCACTAAAATTAGTTAACTAGTTCTTATATTAAGAATAAAAAGAAGTAGTATAATGTTAATTAGGAGCCTACGGTGACCTAGCACAAGCAGGAAGAAAGAAATTTCCAAGTGGTGGGCCCTATCTATTGAATACTCCTTACTTCATGAAGAGCTCAATTTCATGAAAGTCGCAAAAAATATTGGTCTCCTTCACCCCTTTTCCTCTGTATCTATCAATGCAATTGCCAGGAAATGAGCTTTGGACAATGTGTTTTATCTATCATGTTTATTTATTTTTTTAAGATAATCCTTATAATAGTTATATATGTGGAAAATTTCATCAAATGGTAGTTCTAGTTAATAGACATAATTAGTAAATATATTTTAGAAAAGATAATATTTATTTATTACAAATAACTAACTTAATAAATTATTTTAATTCACTAAAATTAGTTAATTAGTTCTTATATTAAGAATAAAAAGGAGTAGTATAATGTTAATTAGGAGCCTACGGTGACCGAGCACAAGCAGGAAGAAAGAAATTTCCAAGTGGTGGGTCTATCTATTGAATAGTGCTTACTTCATGAAGAGCTCAATTTCATGAAAGTCGCAAAAAATATTGGTCTCCTTCACTCCTTTTCCTCTGTATCTATCAATGCAATTACCAGGAAATGAGCTTTGGACAATGTGTTTTATCTATCATGTTTATTTATTTTTTTAAGATAATCCTTATAATAGTTATATATGTGGAAAATTTCATCAAATGGTAGTTCTAGTTAGTAGACATAATTAGTAAATATATTTTAGAAAAGACAATATTTATTTATTACAAATAACAAACTTAATAAATTATTTTAATTCACTAAAATTAGTTAACTAGTTCTTATATTAAGAATAAAAAGGAGTAGTATAATGTTAATTAGGAGCCTATGGTGACCGAGCACAAGCATGAAGAAAGAAATTTCCAAGTGGTGGGTCTATCTATTGAATAGTCCTTATTTCATGAAGAGCTCAATTTCATGAAAGTTGCAAAAAATATTGGTCTCCTTCACCCCTTTTCCTCTGTATCTATCAATGCAATTACCATCACGAAATTAGATGACGTTTGGAAATTGGAATACAAATTAAATAGAATAAATTTATATGAAAAATAAGGCTTGTTTCATTTATACTTTTAAAAATATAGCAAAAAAATATAAATCATGCTCACTTTATTAAAATTATTTCATCTCAATACCAACTTTTTCGTGATTCCCCCTCTTTTTAGAGGATCATCATTCCAAACACGGCTTTGATGATAGATCATCTCCACCACGCAATATTTTTTTCCAAGTTTCAAACATAGTTTGTTATGTGCCGTACCAGTGGTCTTGATTATTGTTTTATGAGAAAACGAGCTTTGCGGAATATGCATAATATATACGGACGCCCACACACACACACATGTGTGCATGCGCTGGTGAAGGATGCACTGATTAGTCAAAAGTTTGTTTGGACTATTTATAATGTGTACTTTTTTTCTATTGGCCATGATAATCAAAGCACACTATATAATTCTTTAGGAAATACCTATAAAAAAAATCTTCAATATAAAAGCTAGTTTACTCATTTTTAGCATATTAATAAAACTAGTTTAAATTAGTTAGTTATTTGTAATAGGTATTATCTTTCATTAAATATCCTTACTAATTAAGTGTATTGGCTAGTACTACCATTATTATAAAAACTATCTTAAAAAAATGAATAAATATAAAAAAGATAGATTTGGGTTTTATATTTATGACTAAAATAAAAGTTAAACTAACTCTTATACTAAAGACCGGAGATAGTACTAATTTTAAAATTTCACATCAATCTTGTTTTCTACACTTTAATAGCAATTGACTATATTTGAAAAGTAAATAACAATATATTTTTATAGCAATTTGTGGTTTGAAATTCTAAACTTTACGAAATATTTTTTTCCCCAGTATTTTCTCTCTTTTTTTAAATATTCTGTAATTACTTTATGAATGGTTCTCTGTGTGGGCCTGCGGGCCACCTACCATTTTTGGAATTGGAACAATAGACCCCAAGCAATTAACAAAGTCTTCCAGTCCGAAAAACTTTATAGATGCTATCAAAGTGATGAAATCTCATTTATACAATTCGAATCAATAATATTATATTTTATGGTATACTCTCATATTAGGAATATCAAAATATTTTGATAGAAGTATACCTTTAGTCTTTTAATTTTGTACAAATTTTTATTTTAATCCCTTCATTTTATAAAGTGTTTTTTATTGGAAAAATAAAATTCTAAAATCCATATACTCAAACATATTCATATGTTTAAAATCTTTTGTTTTTCCTTAGATTTGAAATAGCTTGGTTAGGTTTATCGGGAAAAAATAGCCAGGTTAAAGTGAGTATTTAAAATTCTAAAAATTCTAATAATAAAATTTTGTTTGAATTTAGATGAAATTCAAATCAATGAAATTTGAATCTAGCTACCAAAATAATGAATTCGACCCAAATTCAAAAACCCAGATTTGTGTCCACTTGATCGTACAGCCGGCTTTTTCACTGTTATTTTTATCATTAAAAAAAAAAAGAAGAAAAGAAACCATTATTTGACTGTTTGAGTTCAAGATTGCGTTTTAATAAAAGGCCAAAAAAAAAAAAACTGAGATTATGTCCGCTTCATTCTTTTTGCTTCAAGTCTGTTTGTTCCTATTTCCTTCCCTTCCAAATAGATATGAAATTTCCAATTACTTGATAATAATTTATTTTAAAGAAGTCATTTTTTATTAGATAGTACATAAAGTTAATTATACCTAGCTAACTTTCCTTTTTTTTTTTTTTGGTGCCAACAATTATACGTAGCTTACCTAAACGGAGATAGAAGAAATTTACAATCAGTTATAATACCCCTTGTGCCTTATACGCGTAGCTATATTTCCATTGCGTAAAATTGAAAAGGCTCTTCTTATTCCAAGTCAAGATACTAGTTTGATAAGCAGCCACAAAATTGACATGGCCAATAACTTTCGCTGAGCAAGATCCCATAGGTCATAATGTTTTATCAAAAGAATTGGTGTCAGATGGAATATAACGATGACACCTATTAATTTACGTAGCCTACTCTATTTAAGAGGATAATTTTTGTTTTCTTTTAATTTTCATGATAGTTTGATTGGTTTTGATTTCAAGAGGCTTTACTGTGATAGTCAATCCCAAGTAATATACAAGAAAATTGAGAATCCGTTTGATATGAAATATTAAGAATAAGAAGAGAGCATCAGAATTGGGATTAAGAAAACTCATTAAAAAAGTATTTAATATGAGTAATTACTTGTTACTTGGAATTGAGTAAACCCATATAGATGAGATTGAGGAATACCGCATAAGGAAGTAGTGTTTCCCAATCTCACCTACATGGTTTTTTTTTTTTTTGAATCTCAATCCCTATGCTTACATATAATTCTCAATTCTTAGTACTTCATACTAAATGGGATTGAGAGTCTACTTTGTGGCCTGGAAGAATGGGACACCACCTACGTTAACGGTGACTATGTTGGGGTCAGATATAGGAAGAGGATATTCATAGGAAATAGAAGTTCAGGACATTCAAGTGGTTTTGTGGTCTTGAAATAATTCATGGTCAGGTGATTCTTGCTCGAGAAGAAGCTGTTTGTGACAGCGAGATGTTTGCCGGTTGATTTGTTGTCACGTTGGGATTTAAGGACGTGGCTAATATGCTTTTTGTTTAAACAGGGTCAGCAATTTCTTTTGACACAGGATTTATTTATTAAATATGTATAAAAAAAACTAGGGACTGAATTTTAACCCATTTAACAGTCAGGCATTGAGTTACAGTAGGTTATAATTGAAGGAATGAGTCATGACTTAGTTGAAAGTTAAGAAACTAAAAGATTAGTTTTCCCTAACATACTTAAAACTATACAAAACAGAAAAATATGTATGTAAACTAGGGTGCTTCAATCATGGTTATTTATTTCATCCCTACTCCTTTTAATTTACTGATAATGACAACCAAGAACAGAGGGGGATTGAAGGAATCTGCCTAAAACAGAGAGCACCAAAGAGAATTTAAACAGAGCAAAGAAACAGAACAACATGACTTCATTAGAATAAATGGTATGTAATCTAATCTATCAAATATGTATACAATCCTGGTCACTATTAATTAACTTAGCACATCCAACACCCCAATAACTTAATTGTTTTATTCATTTTTCTCTTCTATTTTCTTTAGTCATTAGAAGAATTTCATACCCCTGCATTTCGCGGGGTTTGCTTCAATTTCTCTACTATCATGATGATTGATCATACGAATCAATTATCTGGTTGGCGTTACGATGAGGAATCTTCAAATCTTCAAGGATAAATAAAAGACTAACTGTTAAGAAGATGCGACTCATTTGGGTTTCTTGATCGGTTTGATTCCATTTATTCTTCCGTAATTCTCTTGTGTTGCAATAAAATTCAGGCCAACGAAGATTACAATAAAATTACAGTACCAATAGACAATACATAATTCCATAGCTAAAATAACTGACGCTAGAGGATCATGGCATACAAGTCTGGATGCCATCCATCTTATTCTTCTTATATTTAATTTCTACCCCATTATGTGTCTACTCGGAGAAACTAATATTGCATCCACTCAGATATGAAAGTTGCCACAGAATCTGATAAACAACAGTTGTGTTTGAGCTGTTGCAGATAAAGCCCAAGCTGACAAGCTCCAACTGAAATGATGGCAGTCAGTAATAAACAGTTAAAATTCTTACAGCTGATATATAATTGAGAAAGAAACTCATAAGTATTAAGAATGTATTACCTGTTAGTTGCGGAGCCACCTGCGCCATCTTCCCACACGGAGCACCGTTGCCACGTAGATGGAGTCCGACATCTTGCTTAGGAAATTGAAGTAGGCATGCCTCCATGATGGAATAGCTAACAATGATCCAAACACTATCCAAAATCCAACAGCAAATCCCACGCCCAAGCTTTCGTAAAATCCTCTCATGAAAGGGTCGTCTTCATCAGCAACCTGGTTAGCTTGTGTCTCATTTCCTAATGGATGATCTTCAGAAGGACATAGCTTGTCCAGTGGCCTCCCACAAAGGTAAGGATTTCCTTCATAGCTCGAGGGGTCAAAAGATTGCAGCTGTGTTCCTGTTGGAATTTCTCCTGACAAGCTATTGTTCGATAAATTCAAAATGCTCAATAAAGATATTTCAGCAAGACTCGAAGGAATTTCACCATGAAAATGATTCTCTGATAGATCCAAAACTTCTAGTGATTTTAATTGTCCTATCTCTTGTATGATTTTTCCACTCAACTTATTTGATGATAAATTCAGAAATATCAATTCAACCAATTTTCCAATTCCTGTTGGCATTTCACCCTCTAGTTGATTGTGAGAGAGATCAATGCTTACAAGCCCATAGCGATCATCGTACACCAAATCTCTTCCTTTCCACACCATAGGCAAGTTCCAACCAAAAGTTCCAGCTACTGGAGATTTTCCTTTATAGTAGAATCCGATCAAACCTATGTAATCATTTCTGACATGCTTTTGAGCCATTGCAACTAGCTTGTCGATGCAACTTGGTATTGGTCCAGTAAACTTGTTCAAAGAGAGATCCAAAACTCTGACCTTCTTTAAATAACATAGATGGATGGGTAACTTTCCATCTAATTTATTCATTCGTAAGCTAAGAGTTTGCAACTCTTTTAGATTGTCTTTAGTCCATGAAGGTGGTATTGGTCCTGACAAGTCATTTTTTCCCAAATCTAACATTCCCAGTGCAGTTACATTTTTCAGGGAGGGAAGGACACCACTGAAGCAATTGTTCCACAAAATTAATTGCTCGAGTTGACTTAAAGACCCTATAGAATTAGGAATCTCTCCAGAGAGTTGATTATTGGATAAATCAAGAAATCTTAAAGATTTGAAATGATCCCAACAATCAGGAAGTTTTCCTTGTAAGTTATTATATGATAAATCTAACGTTACCAAATTTTCAACAACTGCGCTTATTCCCTTGCCACATGAAAGAACAAATTCTGAAAATTGATTTCTTGAAATGTCCAGAGCTCCACCCTTTAGTAGAAATGGCGGAACATAGCCTTCAATTTGATTTGAAGCCAATGATATCTCCGGGACAGTAAATTCAAGTGGCAAATTTGGAATTGTACCTGTTAGATTACTGGATTCTATTTGAAGTACATCTGCTCCCTCTACAAGTCTCCAAAACCACTCTGGTATAGGATCATTGATTTCAGCGTGAAAAACATGTATCACCATTAAATTATTTTGAGTGCGAAGCCATTTGGGGAATTTAGGGCCTAACTTACATCGTGATAACAATAATGATTCTAATTGGAAAGGTGGAATCCAATTGTTGCTGAATTTGAGGGTCAACAAATCACAAGATAAGGTTAAGGCTCGTAACTTGGTGAGATTACTAAAATGGACATCACTGATTGTTCCATTTAGGTCATTATCAGAAAGGTCAAGATCCGTTAAAGAATTCATGTATTTTCCGAAATCATCTGGAATAGGGCCACCTAAGTGACTGTTGTCCAGAGAAAGGCTTGCGAGATTGGAGCTTATATTTAAAAGCCAAGGGAAAACAGATGTGAGCTTGTTTTGACCAAGACCAAGAGACACAAGAGAAGGAGTAAAATTTAAATGGGATGGAGGAGTTGATAGAATATTAATATCAGTTAGGCTACAGTTGTCTAGGTCTAGAACTCTTAGGTTTGGAAGCCTCCCAATAATTGGTAATAAGTTCTTAGAGTAATTAAGATTAACATCACTTAAGACAAGTGAAGTTAAGGATTGAAGATTGGAAAGCCACTCAATGCCAACCGGGCTCTTGTAATCAATTTTCAAATCATCATTGTGGGATACTGAAAGTATCTGCAAGCTTGAAAGATTACCAAACTGGCTAGGAATATTGCCAACTAAATTATTCCCATCTAGACGAAGTTCTTGCAAACTAGAAAGGTTCGCAAGATGGAAAGGTATACTGCCAACTAAACCATTATGGGAAAGATTTAGAACTCGCAGGTCTGAAAGCTTACCAAGTTCAATTGGTATTTTGCCGCCAAAAAAAGAACCACTGAGATCGAGGTATCTTAATTTGGTGAGAGAACCAAAGAATTTTGGGATTTCACTACCATTGAAATCATTGTAATTGAGATTTAAATAATTTAAGTTTGGCAAGTCCATCAATGATGGGCTAATCTCACCTCTTAAAGGCTGTCCGGACTCAATATCACCATGGAGATCAAGCATCTCAATGTGGCCAGTTTGAGGATTACAGAAAACACGACTCCAGAGGCAACAATCTGGAGAAGAGCCCCATGAAGACAAATGACCATAATCATTCACAAAGGCATTCTTCATGCTGAGAAGAGCTCGTCTTTCCTTGTGCAGGCAACTAGCGTGGGCATCTCCCATTCTCCAACATGACCCTCTCATGAACAACTCAGCTTGCAAGTGCAGCATTATGAGTATGATGATTGCTTGCGGCAGTTTCACAAGGTTTAGATAACTCACGCTCATCATTATTGCAGCTAGTTCATGCACCATGAAACTCAACCAAGTACATGAGATGAACAACGCTGGCCTCCTTATTTATAACTCAAGGTCTTCTTGATGATGTGAACAATAATTGCGTGTCTACACCAGACGTATACTATAAGTCAAGGTCCCCCACAAATAACACGATTGGAAGCAATTCAAATTGAGTTTTTGCTCTCTTTTAACAGCTAATTAGCATTTAAAACAATGTACTCTCCTTAAATATAGCATTCATTTTATAGTGTAAATTATTATATTTGGTCTTAATTATAAGACCTCGTTTGTAGTCTTATAATTAGGACCGAAAGTAGTATATTATAAAATAAGTATTATATTTAGAATTGAGGAGTACTATCCGAACACTCAACTGTTTTTCTTTTCTTTTTTCGAAATCAACTCCTAACAACCAGTTGACTCAACCTCCTCCTCCTCCGCCTCACGTGGTTTCTTTTCTAGTTGGATTTAAGTCTTTGTTCTCCCCTGAGCTTCTTGGGCCTTTTTTTTCCTTGTTCAGAAGATTGGTTGTATTGAGGCCCAAGTCATTTGCATCGTTTTATCCGTATAAAAAAAATAAATTTGGCTCTGTAGCACAAAAAATTGGCCCTTATTACCAAAAAGAAAAAAATCCTTCTCCTCCTCCTCATCATCTTCGTCATACTACTACTACTATTGTTATGTAAACAATCGTAAAAGTGAATAAATTTTTAAGGGTTTAGAACAATTTGAGCTGCTGAGCGCCATATATATTATATTCATTTCATAGGCCTTTTTTATTATATTATTGAATAAGTTGATGGAAAAAATTTTAAATGATAATATTTTTGGCTATATTTTAAAATAATATTATAGTAACAGGCGTAACAAAAATGAAAACGAAAAATATTAGTATTTGAAAAATTATATTTTAAAAATTCAGTATTTAAGTATTATTTTCATGAAAATTATGTCGAATTCAATCTTCATTGAAATCCGCGTCAGAATATATTTACATAATTATGCGCAATGATATTAAATAATGATTGTAATTAGTTTGGTTAACATAAAATTCTTTATAAACAGAGTCCGTGCATATAAGAATTGACGTATATTTGATGAGCCTGCAGTAAATCCTACAAGGTTTGGGTCTAATAGAAGGTACTGACCCAAATATTCCATGTGTGTTTCCAAAACAACAAGGGCTATCTTTGTTTACAATTCCCCAGAAAGCATCCGGGAGCAAAATTACTGGATTTGTCTATTAATTGTTGTTAATCTCAATAATTGACCTCTGTTTTGCTGTCTGGAATTCACTAGTTTGTCTATTTCTGTAAACTAAAATTACAGTGAAACGGGTGGCATAAAAAGAAAGCAAAAGCTTTGGGGGGAAAAAAATGAATATCTGTGCATTCTCCTGAAAAAATTTCAGAGCATGAATGGCATAGGAGTGTCTAGGAATTTGAAGAAGTGTTTTTTAAAAGTACTTTTCTGTAAATCGAAACAAATTCTTTTACATATTTACTTCGTATACTATAAAATCACTTCTGAAATCATAGTTTGATTTTCATTCAAATATCTCCTAGTCTTGTCTCCATTATATGACTTCAAATCCTACGTTCATGTGTTAGGTGATTAAGAGCTTGTCTGGATTTATTTATACGTAGCTTTTCAAATATAATTTACAGAATACGAGATAAATATGCGAGGAGAATTTTGTTTCGACTTACATGAACTTACTTAAAAGTTTGTTTTGAACAAAGCTTCAATCCAAACAAGTCTTAAATTGTTGACTTTTAATTGAAAGAGAAAAATAGATTGAGCAACGTGGAGTTGAAGGGATCTGCCCGAAACAGAGCAGCAGATGAACAGAGGATATATAAGAAGGAAAAATAAGAAAGAACGACACGTGTCTTTCAGCTGTTGAGATCTATACAGCTTCTATGGCGTGCTGTACTGTCGTCATTGCATTAAACTTCAATGTTCAACTGAACCTTTCATTTACTATTGCTATCGGGGAAAAAATTCTTTTGCCTACGTCAAAATGTCCCTTGTCTCTTTTAAACATATTAGAGGCTGATCTTTCAATTGGATTTATTAGTTATTACAATAATCTTAAATAATTAGCACTTGTAGTTCTAGGTTTGATCGGTTCTCTCGGCTGACCAGAAAGATAAACTTTAAAATATATTTATATATAAATGACATAAAATTTGAAAAGAAAAAAATTTGTAAAGAGGAAAAGTGAACGTAAATATCCATATAATATATAAAATGTGACGTAAATATATAACAACTATGAAATCAAATTATTACGATATAATGTATTTTATAATTTATCAAACTTCTTTCCAATGTTACAAGTGATTTATTTTTGCAAGTTTTTGTGTGCGTTAAAGTAGGAAAAATGATGGATATAGTTAGTGTGAATGAAAATTTAGTAAATAAAAATAAAAAATGTGTTTGCTTCCCTTTGAAGGATATCGTTAAATGGGAACCTGGGGACCTACCGTCTCAGAGCATAAGGAGGAAGAAATTTCCTGTCCAGTGGTAAGCAGCTATCTATTGAATATTCGTCATTTCATGAAGAGCTCAATTTTGATTAATACATTAATGTCACAACAGATATTAATTTTTCTGTATCTATTGCAATCATTACCATCAAGTACTTAGATGATGTTTGTGGAATACTCCTTTATTTTTCGTATTTATAAGTAATCTTTTATATGTGTTTCACTGGAAAAAAAAATTAGATCACGTTAACTATGTTTTGAAATTAATAATTCTTTAAAAAAAACTTAGATCACGTTAACTATGTTTTGAAATTAATAATGGTCTAACTTTACTTTTATTTGATATATATATTTTTTAAGAAAATAATAATCTATGGGATAATAATACATTCATGCTAGATATTAAACGACATGACTTGGAAATAAAACTAAGTAAAATGGTTTTGGTGTCTAATAAATAGAACCAAAGGAATATGTAAATAATCTTTGAAATTATTCCCCTCAAATCCTCAATTCCATTGTTACATTCACCCTATATGCGCCTAGTGAAGGGTGCATTGTTTCGTCAAAGGTTATTTGGCTATAACCGTGCACTAATTGTTTAATTAGCTAATTAATAAACAAAGCACACTTTACAGAACTTTTATTCTTTTAATTTTAATATTCTGTAATTACTTTTTGACAATATATTTAAAGATTTGGTTTTACATATAATTCAATAACATCACGTGATCTATATAGCCGACCTCATCTAATAGAATAAGACTTTATTATTGTTGTTATAGTATTCTGCAATTACACATGTGATTTTTTTTTTTGTGACCAGCAATACACATGTGATATTACTGGATTCTATTTGAAGTTACAGGGAAAAAATTACTATCAGGGAAAAAAATTCTTTTCCCTTGTCAAAATGTTCTCTTTCTTTTTTTAATTCTTAAACACATCGGACGCTGATCGTTCAACTGGATTGATTGGTCATTAGTTATTACAAGAATGTTAAATAATTAGTACTTGTAATCGGTTCTCCCTATCATCGGCTGACCATAAAGACAAACCTTGAAATATTTTACTCCTTGTTCAGATAAATCTGTCTCTTTCAAAAGCAACTTTAAAAAAAAAAAAAAATTGTTCACAAAAGTCAATAAGTTGGCGTTTAACCTGTATACGCGTCCTTCCTCCGTATTAATTTAATCAGGAAAATTATAAATATATCCTTTTTAAAAAAAACATTTCAAAATAAAACTAAAAATAAAATAAAAGCCTACTTATGATAATGATGATTGAGTGACCAAAATCAAAAGTTACCTTCCGCAAAAGAAAACAAGAAAACTAATCTAAAGTTACCACTATCGTTATAAAAGAAGAGGAAGAAAATATGACAAGTAGATCCACCATTAAGTGATATACATGCATGCATGCTTGTTAGAAGAGTTCATCGTTTTAAGACATTGATTAAACCAAATTAATCTGTTTTAAGTCATAACAACCAACTCTTCTTTGTTATGATTTATTAGTTATTACAAAATACTACCCCCAATCCTTAATATAATAATTCATTTGATTTTTATTTGATTATAAATACAAGACCATAATCTACTCACTCTCTCATATTTATCTATTTTTTTAAATAGTCCTTGTAATAATGATAGTTCTAACCAATACACTTGATTAGTAAGAATATTTTAAAAAGATAATATTATTTATTATAAATAATTAACTTAACTAATTTTTTAATTTACTCAAATTAGTTAACTAATTTTTATTAAAGACCGGAGTTAGCATTAAGGGGGTGTTTGGGTTCCAACCCAAACCATGGTTTGGGAAAAAATCTCCCAAACACCCTTTAAAACCCAAAACCATGGTTTTGGGAAAAGTAAAAATTTTTTGCTTTTGGAAAAAAAAAGGAAGAGTATGAGAGCCTATAGGATATGTATCTTTTTTTTTATAAACATATTTTTTTATAATATATTTAATCTTATATCTTATAAATATATATACATATTAATTATTTATTAATTATATTATCTTATGTATTATTAATTGTGTTAATAAAAAATATATTATTAACAATTTTATTCCTTCAAATTAAAATATATCATAAAATATATTTTTTCTGTAATTATCATATTAACTTTTGTCTTTTTTAGTAATTTGTACATGTACAAAGTGTTTCTGGTAACAAGTATCCAAACACTCTCACTTCTCAAAATCACTTTTCACAAATCTATTCTTCAAAAAATCTATTCTCCCCAAAATCTATTCTCCAGAAGCTATTCTCCAAACCATGGTTTGGTTATATCCAAACACCCCCTAAATACTTAATGAGTACTACTTGTTCTAGACCTGATCTATTATTATCCCATCGTAAATCTATCTCTTTGTTAAAAAGCAGCTTTTTTAAAAAAACAAAAAAAAGGACAAAAGTGAATCCCAATTTTCTTTCACCATCAAAATTTATTTTAAATTTTGCTAAAAACTATAATTATAAGACCCTAAAAAAAAAGAAAGACTAATATGAAG